GACTAAGCTTAGCAAGAAGGGGATGTGCACACTGATGTTTCTTTCCATCTTTAGTCATGGGCCAGACAGGGTGGCTTGCAGCTGAAACACCTGAGAGGGACCTCCTGGGAAATTTCTGCAGAAAGAGCAGCCCTGGTGCCCTGACCTGCTTGCAGACATCTTCTAGGAAGAAGAGTAAGCCTAAGACTCCTCCGTTCTGCGGCTGTGCAGGAATGCACACATGCATGCAGACATGATATTTCTCCCCAACAGGCACTGCCTGTTACATTTCAAAATGAGAGAGGAGGCAACGCGCAGCAAGGTCCCCATTCCTATCTTATTGGGAATAGAGAAGAAGAGACCTTCTACAGATATCCACCAATGCCCCTCCACCTCCCCACCCCCCCCCACACAATTGTATCCATACCACTCTGCCCATTTATCTAGTGAAGACCAACTACTCCCTCTTGTCTGCCCGTCACATCCCTGCCTGCCCTTTATGTCTTCAACACTTTCCTACTGATAAACACCTTTATAAATTATCCCTTTCCCCTCCACTAGTCTTCCTTCATTTTTTTTTTAACCTTTTTTCTTTGTGACAAAATTTTCTAGGGCTGGGCAGATAACTCAGTCAGTAAAGTGCTTGCAAGAGGACCTTGTTTTGATCCTCAGAACCCTTTTTTTTTTTTAAGTTGGGGGTGGAGGTGTTCATTTTGATCCCAGCAAACTCAGATCTCTGGGGCTCAGTGGCCAGCCAGCCTTGCCTAACTGTTGGGCTCCAAGTCTCTGTCTGAAAAATGAGGTACATAGGCCCTGAGGAATGACACTTCAGGCTGTCCTGCATCCTGCGCACACACGGGGTTTCTTTCTGTTTGCTTGTTTTTTGAGACAGGGTTTCTCTTTGTAGCTTTGAAGCTTGTCCTGGAACTTGCTCTGTAGACCAGGCTGGCCTCGAACTCACAGAGATCCGCCTGCCTCCGCCTCCCGAGTGCTGGGATTAAAGGCCTGCGCTACCGCCACCGGGCTTCACACAGGCTTTCTATATTGCTTTTCTCTGGCTTCCTTTTGCACTCTCCCCAAGTGATCTGTCCGTCCCTCCCGCATTGTGCTGAGTCTGCTCATCTCAGGACACTTCTCTCTGCTCTCCTTATTTCTCAGTGCTTGTCTCCTGCTGTTGGTTGTCTTTTACTCTCTGACTCTTGGGGTCTACCCCCCAGCTCCCACATAGTTACAGGGAAGCTTGTTCTTACTTATCAATGCCCGGCCTTAGCTTGACTTGTTTCTAGCCAGCTTTTCTTAAGTTATCCCATCTACCTCTTGCCTCTGGGCTTTTATCATTATCCTATACACCTTTCTTTACTTCTTACTCTGTGGGCCTTCTGTGTAGCTGGGTAGCAGGCCCCTCACGTCCTCCTCTCCTCCTTTTCTCACTCCTCCGTCCCCCTTCCCCAGATTTCTTCTATTTATTCTGTCTGCCAACTCTGCCTATCCCTCTCCTGCCTTGTTATTGGCTGTTCAGCTCTTTATTAGACTATAAGGAGTTTTAGACAGGCAAAGTAACCCAGCTCCACAGAGTTAAACAAAAGCAACATAAAAGAAAGCAACACATCTTTGCATCATTAAACAAATGTTTTACAGAATAAATGAATGTAACACATCTTAAATTAATCTGTAACAGATCCTGTGAAATCAGTTAGAGCAGGCTGCCTCTCCCTCTGCCATGTAGTCCTTGTGTGTGCTGCTTCAGTCTCTGTGAGTTCATATGTGTGTTGGTCATTGATTTAGCAGGCCTTGTTTTCGTAGTGTCCTCCATCCTCTCTTTCTCTTCCACTTTTTTCAGGTCCTCTTCCTGCCTCCTCTTCCAAGGGGTTCTTTGAACCCTGAGGGGAGGGATTGACAGAGCCATCACATTTGAGGGTGAGTGTTCCTAGGTCTCTCATTCTCTGTATAATGTCTGGTTGTGGGTCTCTGTATTTGTTCCCATCTGCTGTAGAAGGAAGCCTTTTTGATGGAGGCTGAACAAGATCATTCATTCTCAACCAGTGGATGGTGACCCCTTTGAGGGATCTAATGACCCTATCACAGGGGTTTCCTAAGACTATCTGAAGATCATATATTTACATTATGATTCATAACAGTAGAAAAATTATAGTTATAAAGTAGCAAGAAAAATAATTTTATAGTTGGGGAGGTCACCACAACATGAACTGTATTAGAGGGTCACAGCATTAGGAAGGTTGAGAACCTCTGCTCTGATCTATTAGTATTTCAAAATGTCATTAGGAATCATTTTATTAGTTTTTATTTATTTATAGAACTGTCATATTTGATTTTACCCTAGGTCCCTGGGCTACCTAGCCTCAGGTTCATGGTCACCCAAGCATTGTTGTGTATGGGTTGCATTTTATGGAGTAAGCCTTGAGTTGAATCAGATATTGGTTGGTTACTCACACAAACTTTTTGCCACCATTGCACTAGCATATCTTGCCAACAAAATACCATTGTAGATCAAACCATTAGTGTCTGGCTTGGTGTTTTATATATCTCCTTTGGCAGCAGGCAGACTACTGTGGGAGCTCCTTCAGCTCCTTCAGCCAATAGCCTTTAAGATATCAGCACACTTGGGTGTGGTCTCTTATACTATAAATGCAGCTAGCTGTAAAGTGTGCGCTCACTCTCTTGCTTCCGGTTCTTGCTTCCAGCTATTAGATTCGGTTCCTGTTCCCCATTCGTGTAGAGGACTGTGATCTAGAACAGTGATCTGTGAGTCTCCCCTAAATAAATAACCCTTGATTATACATAATTCTGAACTACTGTGGGATTATTTTGTATCTTCCGCCATCAGCAAAGTATTTTGCTGTACCAAAGACACTAGAACATAGGGGTGAAGGTACCAACCCCATTTCTCGATGTTCAATGAGTTTTATAGGTGGTGTCTTTAGTAATGCTATCAATTTGTGGAGAGCAACCTATAGTCTTGGCAATAGCCTGGGTTGTTTTGGGGGTTCCCATGGAACCCCTATGGCCAACAGTTCAATTAGATATAATCCAATCCTGGAACCTGAAGCTTCATTGGTGACAAGAGATGGCAAGTTGGGTATCTGTCTCCCCCATTATTCGGCTCCTTCATTTAGCTTGCCTTCATTTGTGTATATATTTTAGGAAGCTTCTGTTGTATTAGGTTTCCACACTCTTCCTCAAATGGCTGTTAATTTTAGGTGTCGCTCCATATTCCCTCCCTCATCCTCCCCGCTTTCCTTCCCCTCTTGATCCTTCCATTCCAGTCTCCCATCCATCCATTCATAAATATACTACTCCCCTGTCCTGGGGACACCTATCTGCACCCACTCACTCTATACCTAACGGATGTGGTTCTATGGATTATACCTTCTTACCATTGACTTATTGACTATCTCCACATATAAGTGAATACTTACATTTGTCTTTCTGGGTCTGGGTTAACTTACTCAGGATAACTTTTTCTAGTTCTACCCATTTACTTGCAAATTTAATGATTTAATTTTTGATGGCTGAGTAATATTCCATTGTATAAATGCACCACATTTTCTTCATCCACTCATCTCTTGAGGGACATATAGGTTCTTTCTAATTTCTTGTGGTTGTGAATAAAGCAGCAAGGAACACGACTAAGCAGTTGTTGCTATGGTGGGATAAAGTACCCTTTGGGTATATGTCCGAGAATCTGCCTTTTTTTAAAAGGTGAGTCAGACTAAACACAGACACACATGGTGAGCAGTGACCTCATGAGACCCTCCCCAGTAACAAAAGGCAGCAGTGAGTCCTAGCCAATGAAGAATGGCAAATTAATTAGGTTTTATTATTTCCAATGCATGCAGGCTACGTTTTAGAGTGGCACTTTCGACTGCCTCTTGGTCAACTAGCACCCTGGAGCCAGCCTTAAAGAACAAATACCACACGTGACAAGCAGGGACTATCAATTCCTTCACTAACCTGAGGCAGCAGCAAGGGATTTTATCCTCTCCATGTACCAGAATGATATTCCAGGTGTGTTTTTCCAACAGTGTCACTACTTCTTCTAAATCTGAATTATATCGACCCCTTGCCATTGTGTTATTTAGGTCATTGTGGACGTGGCTGTATACACATATATGATGGTATAAACAGAAACAGAGAAAGTCATTAAGAAAGAGAAAGATGGCACCAAGAACGTGTGCAAGCTGGGGAAAAGCATAGGCTCAAAAACCTACTTTATTTTCGAATCTGGTCTTTGAGCATAAATAATAGATTATATATCCCGTAGCTTATATTTGAAAATATGAAAGTAGTATTCGTGTAGTCTAAATTGTCTTTTGATGAAAGATTCTCCCTTGAAGTTAACCTTGCCAACATCTTCTGGAATGATTTAAATCCCACTCACATGGGTCACGCTTCTTTTGCAGCTGGTCTAATTCTTCTAATTCCAGAATCTCAGATCACAAAAGAATAAATGGGAATTCATCCTCGGTTGGCTTTACTCGAGAAAGCCGCAGATCTTAGTCCCTAGATTTTGACACAAACAGGGCTATTAACTTTCCTCAGGTGAATATTTGTTCTCTAGCATTTTGAAGACTACCTGGGGAAAGATGGTTTTGTGTATCCTAATTTCTTCTCCATCACGTCCACCGCCACAGAAATTCAGTGAATCCTGAACACCGACATTTCAGATCCCTTGGTGCTGACTCAGCAGAGCAACTGTCAGTCATCTGTGGGATATTTTCCTCATTTGTATCTGTTTGTTACCAAAATGTTTCTCTTGTCTCTGGCAGCCCTAGTGAAACTCACAAAAGCCTGATAGTTTGGTTTCTTGATTGGCTGTTGTTTCTTTCTTAGGCCTTTATGTTACAGTGTTTGTCTATTTTTAGTTTTTTTCAGTTTGAACAAAAGGTTTTTTTTAATGTTTTGATTAAACATATAATGTTCTGTTTTGTTATTCCCTTTTTAGATTGAGAAGAAATGCTGAGACTCAAGTAAAGCTCCCTCTTCTGCTCCACGTGCCTGCCATGGGAGCTGGGAAGTCTAAACTAGATCACTGTCCTCTTTCTTGGCACAAGAGACACAGTGAGGATGCAGCTCCAGACTGCCATGAATCCGAGGATTCTAAGGATGTGTCCTTGCATGGTTTTGTGGAGCACAGCAATAGAACAGAGCCGCCAACAGGAGAGCAGGAGGGAGCTGAGGCAAAAGGAGAGATGCCTGAGGAGGAAGCTGAAGAAGAAGCCTTCCTCAAATTTGTGATCCTGCATGCAGAGGACGACATAGATGAGGCCCTCAGGGTCCAGGATCTGCTTCAAAATGACTTTGGTATCAGGCCAGGGATAATTTTTGCCGAGATGCCGTGTGGCAGGCTGCATTTGCAGAATCTAGACGATGCTGTAAATGGGTCTGCGTGGACCATCTTGTTACTGACTGAAAACTTCCTACGAGACACCTGGTGTAACTTCCAGTTCTACACCTCCCTGATGAACTCTGTGAACAGGCAGCACAAGTACAACTCCGTCATTCCCATGCGGCCCCTGAACAGCCCCCTCCCTCGGGAAAGGACTCCCTTGGCACTACAGACCATCAATGCCTTAGAGGAAGAAAGCCGAGGCTTTTCTACCCAAGTGGAGAGGATTTTCCAGGAGTCCGTGTACGAGAGGCAGCGAACGATATGGAAAGAGACGCGGAATGCGCTACGGGGACAGTTCATTGCCTGAGACGAAGCAGACACCCGGCTGGCTCCTGTTTTGTAAACAAAATGATTCATCTTCACTTGAGAAAGCAGTGTCTAGGCAATGCTTCTCTATGAGTGGGGCTGCTTTCAAGAGCTCTGTGGAGCACAGGGAAGCTACATTTCTGCAGGCTTGGGGCTGTGGTACTTTCTGATGATAAACTCCAGGCTGTCAGTTTCTAGCACTTTTTTATAGTTTCCACAGTTTATGAATATTCTTAACTCATTTCTTACGTTACTGTGAACAGGCATGTATGACAGACATTTCCAAACTACGGTATTAAAAGGCCTCAAAAGACATGAACAAAATGGCTCTGATCGTGAGAGGCCCGACCACCTCATTCCTATTTCTCTCAGGAATGGTACCACAAAGCATCCTGGTGCTGTCAAGCAGAAACACGGATGGCCAGATTGGGACATGTGCCGTGTGGACGCACACACATAGTAGATCAGAAGTAGATGTCAGAATGGTAGGGCTTTTGATAATAATCTAACCCTCTGTGGTTTTGTTTGTGCTGGAGTCTGGAACCAGGTTCCACCATGAATTAGCAATCATTCTGAGAGTATGGTACTAGGGACTGTGTGGAGATGTCCCCTGACCTCCCAGTTCCCATCTGTAACCAGGGTTTTATTCGCAGAGCTTGTAAAAAACATGCGATTCTCTAGCTGTTTGCCTCTGAAATCAATAACCTTGTATGTGAACCCTTAGAAACGTCCCTCATACACAGTGATTGAATCAGGGGATGTTTCTTATCTAGGGTGGTCCGACTGAGTGTGGGTGTGGTGTGTGTTTGTGTAGAGACTGTATTTTTAGCATCTCCCCTTTCTGGGTCTATTAGGCCCACATGGACCTGTACCTTCCCTCACAGAACTGCAGCCTATTTGAGACCGAAGCTCGGCAAACAAGCACAGGCTGGGCTTGTGGCTAAGGGTGAGTCATGTCAAATAATGAGAAAGTGCCCAGTGGGGGCCAGGAGACCTACTTGCAAGCCAATCTCTGCCACTGAGGATGAATGTGCCAGTGGGCAGCCATTCTCCTTTGTCTAGGAAATGAAAGGGTTGGATTGATGAATCTCTAAAGGCTTTTGTACGCTCCCAGGACAGGAAAAACTGGAAGCCAGAAAGCAACAAGCAAAGCCTTAAATGTTCATGAGGTGTTACATAGTGCGATCATTGCAGAAGACATAATGCCTGCTTACAATGAATTGATATTTTGTATCATAATTGATTTTTAATGACAGACACAGAAAAGAATCTATACATGCTTACTCAGGTTTTTTGGTTTTGTTTTTATACAGGCTTTCTCTATGTAGCCCTAGCTGCCCTGACACTTGCTGTGTAGACCAGTTTGGCATTGAACTCACAGATCCGCCTGCCTCTACCCTTGAAAGTGCTGGGATTAAAGGTATGCATCACCACATGCAGCTACTCAGGTTTTTTTAAGATATATATATATATATATATATATATATATATATATATATATTTATAGGAACCCACGAACAAAGGCATTCCTCCCAGTTCATGTGTCTCTTGGTCCTCACCTCCCTGGATCCCTGACTGCCACTGCTCACTTCTTTACAGCCATTGTGCCCCACAAGGAGCCTGCAGATCAGTCAGACCTCGTGTCTGCTTCCCAGAGAAGGTGATTGCCTTCATGGCATTTTCTCAACTTTCTTTGCCAGGGTAACTCACTACTCATTTTGTCTTTTTCAGTTTTGGTAAGTATCCCTTCATTATTATTGCTGTTATTATTGCTGTAATGCTTTCAATTTCACAAGTGCCATATAATAATAAGACATTAACCACCCACCCTCCACATGCCTGCCAAACTGGAACTGATGCAGGGTGGCATTTCTTAACAAATGTTTTCCTTCTTTTTCATCTCCAGTGAAGACTGTAGAAAAGTATTCTGAGAAACATCAATCCATGTTCCTGAGAGAGCATGGCACGATGTTCCAGGCAACCTGGAGCTTGGCAGACTTTTTGTTGTTGTTGTTGTTGTTGTTTTGTTTTTGTTTTTATGAAGAACTAAATGTTAGGTACTGAGTAATTATAAGTGTTAAAATGAGCAAGAAATGGTTATCAAATTAACTAATGATGAAAGGAGGCGGAGACGTGGGCCTTAAGGGTCTGTGTTAATGCACACATACATGGCTTTAGATATACACATCAATGATGTGGAGAAATTCTGCCACATGCCAGCAAGTTGTCCTGGGTACTCTGTGCCACCCGCCTGGGAGCTGCTGTAGAAGGATGTGAGCTATGCCTGAACAAACAATTCTCCACGAAGTATAGAAGTAAAGAAGTAAAGAAGAAGTATAGTGTATTGCCAGGTGTGGTGGTGCATGCCTTTAGTCCTAGCACTTGGGAGGCAGAGGCAGGCAGATCTTAGTGAGTTCAAGGCCAGTTTGGTCTATAGAGCAAGTTCCAAAAAAACAGTTACACAGAGAAACTCTGTCTTGAAAAACTAAAAGGAAGGAAGAAAGGAAGGAAGGAAGGAAGGAAGGAAAGAAGGAAAGAGGAAGGATAGTTTATCTCACTTCTAGGCATCCTAGAAGATGTGGTAGCTTAATGAGGTCACTCAAGACCTAGGGTCTTTCCTGCAGTGGAATATTAGACAGCCTTGAAAAATAGTGAAATTCTGACATGTGCTAAAACATAAATGAACAAAATATTTAAAAAGAAAATATCACATGCTTTTACATATATGTGATTAATTCATAGAGACAGAGTCACAGAGACAGTCAGGGGCTGTAGCGGGAGAAATAGGATGCTAATTTTTTTTTTTTTTTTGATTTTTCGAGACAGGGTTTCTCTATGGCTTTGGAGCCTGTCCTGGAACTAGCTCTGTAGACCAGGCTGGTCTCGAACTCACAGAGATCCACCTGCCTCTGCCTCCCGAGTGCTGGGATTAAAGGCGTGCGCCACCATTGCCTGGCAGGATGCTAATTTTTCAATAGCTGAAGAGGTTGGTTTGGAGTAATGGGGAAGTTCTGGTAAAGCCCTTGCTAGATATAGTGTGAATGGACCTAATTCTATGAAACTGTACACTTAAAAAATGATTAAAACAGGCCGGGCGGTGGTGGCGCACGCCTTTAATCCCAGCACTCGGGAGGCAGAGGCAGGCAGATCTCTGTGAGTTCGAGACCAGCCTGGTCTACAAGAGCTAGTTCCAGGACAGGCTCCAAAACCACAGAGAAACCCTGTCTCGAAAAACTTTAAAAAAAAAAATGATTAAAACAATACGTTTCCATAGGTGCATTTTGCCACAGTAACTTTAAAAAGTAAACAACAGACCAAAAAATATAAGCCCAAAGTCTTCCTATCTTTTTTCTCGGCCATTCTCAGTTTTCCAGTTGTGATTTTCTCTGAATTGTGTTGTGGCTGCTCCTCGTTGGACCCACATGTAGACAGGATAGTATCCAGCCTACTAAGTCCAGAGGAGTGGTCCACCCAAGGAGGAAAAATATTTCATTACTGCTGTTAAAAATTAAAATATTCAGTAATATTGAAGTTCCATTCTGACTTCTGGGTGATTTTATTAGTATTTTTAAATTCTTTCAACTTGTCACTGTATCTGCCCCACCACACTCGAGAACACTGCCATGAAGTCAAATTACCTGGATTTGAATCCCAGCTTGGTCCTCTATTAATTATTACACACACACACTGAGAGAGAGAGAGAGAGAGAGAGAGAGAGAGAGAGAGAGAGGAAGGGAGGGAGGGAGGGAGGGAGGGAGGGGGAGAGGGAGACAGAGAGAGAGAGAAATCTTTTAAATATAACTTGGATCTAAGGCTAAATGTTTTAAGTGTTAACTGGATCATCATTAAAATGCGACAGTTAGCAGAACTTTGCTAAAACTAACATTAAAACATGGGTGAGGGCCAAGAGAGCCACACAGAGGACCCCTGCAGTGTCCTTGGGCCACAGTGACAGAACTCCTCAGACTAGTCAGTCTGAACAGAAGTGGTCGCTCTCAGTTCTGCAGCCTGAGGCATCCGAGGCTGAGGATGTCTTAGTGTTTATAGTAATGCGAGAAGACCACTGGGCTGAGGAGGAAAGGGTGTGTTCAGCGTCCACTCCCACATTACATCACCAGAAGAGGTCAGGACAGGAACTCACACAGGGCAAGAACTTGGAGGCAGGAGCTGATGTTGAGGCCATGGAGGGGTGCTGCTTGCTGGCTTGCTTCCCCTGGCTTGCTCAGCCTGCTTTCTTATAAAACCCAGAACCAGCCGGGCGGTGGTGGCGCACGCCTTTAATCCCAGCACTCGGGAGGCAGAGGCAGGCGGATCTCTGTGAGTTCGAGACCAGCCTGGTTTACAGAGCTATTTCCAGGACAGGCTCCAAAGCCACAGAGAAACCCTGTCTCGAAAAACCAAAAAAAAAAAAAAAAAAAAAAAAAAAAAAAAAAAAAGCCAGAACAAGCAGCCCAGGGATGGCACCACCCACCACGGGCTGGGTCCTCCCCCACTGATCACTAGATGAGAAAATGCCTTACAGCTGGATCTCATGGTGGTATTTCCTCAACTGAGTCTCCTTCCTCTCCGATGACTCTAGCTTGTGTCAAGTTGACACAAAACCAGCCAGTAGAAGGCACTAAGATAAGGACCAGTTTTCTGGAGATGGAATCTTCTTACTGCCTACTCACGTGGACGAAGAGGAAATGGGCTCCTGGTTTAGTCAGGGACCGAGTCCTATTCTTGAAGACAGAGCCCTCTTTCCAAGTCTCTCAAGCTCCTGACCTTGTAATACCATCATCACATTGCGGATTAAGGTTTTGCTTTGGAATTTTGGGGGTTCACACATGTAGTCAGCCATCAATAAACCTTGCTGATCTCAGTGTCCTCGAAAAATAAAGATAATACCCACAAGAAAGAGTCACTCTGAGGACTGTTGAGCGGCTCACACATTGTCCTAGCTGACTTTCTGTTGCTGCAATAGAGCGATGACTGAAACCAGCGAGTCATCTTACACCTCCCAGGTCAGTCCATCTGCAGGAACCAAAGCGCAAGCCTGGAGACAGAAATTGAAGCAGAACCACAGAGGATGCCTGCTTGTGTTCTCCAGGCTCATGTTCAATTTCTTTCCTTAGTATCTCCCAGGACCACCTGCCCAAGGGTGCACTGCCCCTGTGGGCTGGGCCCTCCCCTGTAACGGCGTAAATGAATGCAGACAGAGTGTAAAAATATATATATAGCTTTAATGTAGAAATAGACTTACAGAACCACCGTTCCCGCGGAGACCAGGAAAGCAGAAGCAAGCGCTCGGAGCTTGCTAGCCAAATTTATAGGCAGACATTAGCCCGAGGCGAACACGCCCCCTAAGGGGCGGGACTTATCCCTACATCTCCCCT